GATAGATAGATAGATAGATAGATAGATAGATAGATCTTTATTGATCCCACAATGGGGAAATTTGAGCATTACAGCAGCTCAAGACAGTGGAAGTTATGCTGCGTTCAGGAACACAGTAAAAAATCTGTTTCCTGACACACATCTAGGACGTTCATTGTAATAAATACTATGAGAGATGAACTGTTTAGATTGAACCATGGAGTTCTAATCTTTGGATTAAATATACATTTAAAAAATAATATATTTAGGGTACTTTTAAACACTTAAAGACAAAAACAACATATTTATTAGGGGTAGGAGATACTAGAAAATTTTGATATCAATCCGATACCAAGTGTAAACAAAAAATGGAATCATGGATTTTGATGCCGATACCTGTCATGATCTTTGATTAATTTTGTGATTTTGCCTTTAGTTAGTCAATTATGATTAAAAAAAACTAAGACTCTTTGTAAATAAAAATGTTTTGTATTAACTAACCACATCAAAATAAAACAATGTAACAGTTTAAAAATAAAATTATTTTCCTAATACCTTCCACAACACACAACTGTTTAGGTAAAAAGCCACCAGTGCGAAATAACAAAAAAAAAAAAAAATGTTTAGGTAAAAAGCCACCAGTGCGAAATAACAAAAAAAAAAAAAAAACACTAACAAAAACATGAGTACAACAATATTAACAAAACAAAAAAAACTTCCATTGCACTCAGGCAGGATGTAGAGGGCTAATGACTAACTCCAAACAACTTGGAGACTCTGCACGTTCTTTTTCACAATAAAGTGAAAACTAAAGTCAGTATTACAAATAAAATGTAAACAAAATAATTGATCGCATTACGCTAGTATGGATCTGATACTGAATTCATCTTGGCATCAAGAGTATCAACGCAGATTGATACGCCCACCCCTAGAATTCACATATAAAGTGACTCCAACAATTTCTTTATCTCTCACAAAGAGACACTTCTGCTCAATGCATTATTTTTTTTATCCAATGTCACAGAACAGGCTCCATAGTAATTAGATTTAACGTAACTAAATTTAGTTATGGTTGCAACAAATTTGATAAACTATGAACTGAAAATATTTTGGACATGAAACTTTCTGCTGATTTAACAATGCTACAAACAACGCTCTGCAGGAATTCATCCTGGTTTGAATTGATCAGGTACAACTTCCACTGTCAGAGCATCAACAATGACTCAAGGCAGAAACGTTATCCAGATCATCCAATTCACTAAAGAAGATATTGCTCCAGCAGATTTCCCTAACATAAAGGTTATTACTCTCTGTTTCATATGAAACAGTCGGGGCTCTGTGGGGCCCTGTGCTCTCAGGACAATAGAGGGAAAGCCGTGGATGCCGTCACCACCACTGTTTATTGTCAGAGACAGGAGAGGAGAACGGGTTTACTGTTCCACTGTGTCTCCAGAGGAGTTCACACAGTCCGCTTGTGTGAATCAACAGGAAAATGGGAATCAAGCGTTGACTCTGCGAGGGCTCTCACATCAAAATGTGAAATAAATGTGACGAGCTGCGGCTCCTGAATCAGAGTCACAGGGCTGTMAGGTGGAGAATGTTAGGGTGCTTATTGTCATCGGGTCAGTCGTCCATGTTTGATGGACTTCAACACATAACTAAAGCGTCACGGCCAGCGTCAGCAGCTGCCACACCATCAATCAGAGTTTCTCAGCTTAAAGGGCACAGAGAGTTCAGGGATTACTGCTCCACGTCTCCCTTCTCCTTGTGAGGAATCATCCTGCATCGGTTCTTCTTCGTGCTGCATATCTGGCTCGTTTCCAGTTCCCAGGACAACTTGCCTCAGTGTCCACATGGGTCTGAAGGACTCTGGGAATCC